TCTTTCTGTTTGTGCCTTGTGAGGTATTGTTTGTTTTGACTCTACTAACCCTTTTCCTAGCTCGTTTGTGAGAACCAGTTTTATCCTTCAGTCCTAGTTTTGTATCACCTGCCTGTTTGCCTACCTGTATATGACCATTGCCTGCCTATGACCATGATCTCTGCCTTCTGTGAAGGCGTAATAAACACCTGCCGTGCTCTGCGCGTGAATCTACAACTTTTTCTCCCTGAGTATTCATTACACCCACGTCAGGGTAGATACCTACAGTTGAAGTCGGAAGTTTACATACACCTTAGCCAAATACATTTAAACTCAGTTTTTCACAATTCCTGACATTTAATCCTAGTAAAAAGCCTTCCATAAGCTTCCCACAATAAGTTGGGTGAATTTTGGCCCATTCCTGCTGAAAGAGCTGGTGTAACTGAGTCAGGTTTGTAGGCCTCCTCGCTCGCACACGGTTTTTCAGTTCTGCCCACAAATCTTCTATAGGATTGAGTTCAGGACTTTGTGATGGCCACTCCAATACCTTGACTTTGTTGTCCTCAAGCCATTTTGCCACAACTTTGGAAGTATGCTTGGGGTCATTGTCCATTTGGAAGACCCATTTGCGACCAAGCTTTAACTTCCTGACTGATGTCTTGAGATGTTGCTTCAATATATCCACATAATTTTTCTTCCTCATGATGCAATCTATTTTGTGAAGTGCACCAGTCCCTCCTGCAGTAAAACACCCCCACAGCATGATGCTGCCACCCACGTGCTTCACAGTTGGTATGGTGTTCTTGGGCTTGCAAGCGTCCCCCTTTTTCCTCCAAACATAACGATGGTCATTATGGCCAATCAGTTCTATTTTTGTTTCATCAGACCAGAGGACATTTCTCCAAAAAGTACGATCTTTGTCCCCATGTGCAGTTGCAAACCGTAGTCTGGCTTTTTTATTGGGGTTTTGGAGTAGTGGCTTCTTCCTTGCTTAGCGGCCTTTCAGGTTATGTCGATATAGGACTCGTTTTACTGTGGATATAGATACTTTTGTACTGGTTTCCTCTAGCATCTTCATAAGGTCCTTGTTCTGGGATTGATTTGCACTTTTCGCACCCAAGCACGTTCATCTCTAGGAGACAGAAAGCATTTCCTTCCTGAGCGGTATGACGGCTGCATGGTCCCATGGTGTTTATACTTGCGTACTATTGTTTGTACAGATAAACGTGGTACCTTCAGGTGTTTGGAAATTGCTCCCAAGGATAAACCAGACTTGTGGAGGTCCACAATTTTTTTTCTGAGGTCTTGGCTGATTTCTTTTGATTTTCACATAATGTCAAGCAAAGAGGCACTGAGTTTGAAGGTATGCCTTGAAATACATCCACAGGCAGGGGCGGTGTGTTCATTAGGGCGATATGGGCGACGCACTGCCAAACGGGAAAAGCAAGGGATTTTTTTTCTAATCAATTATATCACGGCAACAGTAGTTATCAGTGTTCTAATCTAGACGTCTGATCTGCCACTAAATGTCCAATCAGGCTAAAGTCGTGCTTCAAATGGCCCCGCCCGTTTTGGGGCGATTTCAGTCAGGTTGAAAATCGCCCAGAAGTCTCTCATAGCCTCTCATGTAAAATCTTTTTTTTTCAAATATCAGAGCTTTCAATACAATCTCTATGGGTTTCTGAGGGCTTGCACTTACGCGCTTTCGTCATACGTAACATAACCATGAACGTAACTAAGAAAAGAGCGGGTAGCAGCGTCAATCAATTCACGTACTACTATCAAGATGGCTAGCGTTCAGTGCAACTCGATTGTCTCTTTGAAAGAAGTTCACATCAAAGACCATTCAAAACGAGCTACTGGAGTGTATGCTAGCGGTCATGAGGGAACATATTGTGGAGGAGGTGAAGTCGGCGAACTTCGTAGCTATCCAAGCTGACGAGACCACAGACGTTTCTACACAGACACAGCTGGTGCTGAGGTACAACCACAAAGTGCAGGAGCGCTTTTTTGAGTTCCTTCCCATCTCGGAATCAACCTCAGTCTCAATCGCCAGTGTGCTTTTGGAGAGACTGAACGGTCTTTTTGCCGACAACGAGAAAGTCAAACTCATTGCGCAAGCTTACGATGGAGCCAGTGTGATGAGGCGAGAGAAGGCTGGTGTGCAGCAAAAGGTACGTGAGCATTTCAAGAATGCCCATTACGTGCATTGCTATGTGCATCAGTTGAATTTTATCATGCAGCAAGCTACTTCTCGCATCAAAAAAGTAACTAGTAAACTAGTCCTCAGCATGGCTGATTTCAATGAGAAAGTCATTGACCGCTTTGCTGCATTGAAAGAGAGAAGAGAACAGTTTCAGTACAAGTAATGTAGCCTCTCTCTCTCTTTGTCCCTCCCTGTCTGTCTCTTTAACACACACACGCCCAAATCAGTTCACAGTTGATGTTGTTTAAAATAGTTATTTTTCATTTAAAAAAAGTAAAACTTTTTTTTTACAAATCTATACAATTGGCCAGAATATGGTTGTTCATATTTACAAATCTATACAATTGGCCAGAATATGGTTGTTCATTTTTACAAAGCCATACAGATAGCTGTGTTTACCTTTTCTAGAAATTATTTTCAAATTCTGTTTTCAGGCAAAATGTCTATCACTGTTCATTTTCACAAATCTATACAAGAGGGCAGAATATGGAAGTCTATAAAAATTTCCTATTACCAATAACTTGCATCAATGTTTTCAGTAGCCTCTATCAAAAGCTCCTGCTTGCTTGTTGTGAATTATGCTCAGGTGCACATATTTCCAATTCAACCATGAGGCCTTTTTGAAGCAAGTAATGTGTATATCAGTATTGACTTATATGCTGCCCCTGTCTTCATGTTGTTGCTGGACATATCTTTTTTTAAATGTGTGTAGGTCACCTAAATCATCAGAAAAATTGCCCCCCCTGAGAATTTTTTCAGGAGCCGCCACTGTCCACAGGTACACCTCCAAATGACTCAAATGATGTCAATTAGCCTATCAGAAGCTTCTAAAGCCATGACATCATTTTATGAAATTTCCCAAGCTGTTTAAAGGCACAGTCAACTTAGTGTATGTAAACTTCACACCCACTGGAATTGTGATACAGTGAATGATAAGTGAAATAATCTGTCTGTAAACAATTGTCGGAAAAAATACTTGTGTCATGTACAAAGTACATGTCCTAACCGACTTACCAAAACTATATTTTGTTAACAAGAAATTTGTGGAGTGGTTGAAAAACGAGTTTTAATGACTCCAACCTAAGTGTATGTATACTTCCGACTTCAACTGTATTTAGGCAATCCCTAGCTGCTGGGCTGCTCAGTCCTGTGCGTTGTCACCCTGTCCTTGGCCTTGACCAATAATTAATGTTTAACTAAGATCCTAAACCTGAGTGGGGTGTGTTGGGTTGGGGCGCTGCGTGGTTGTGGACCCCTAGGGACAGAACGGGGTGACCCAGCTATATTGTGTGCAAGTAAAAAGAGCTCTACAGTACTATTAGGCCTATGCGATGAAAAAGAAAGTGGGAACTGGGAAGGAACGTGATGGGAGAGAGTTGAGTTATTGACTAGATTGGTGGGGGTTGGGCGTGCAGGCGGCTTGGGCTGGCTGGTCGGTCTGGCTGAAATTTGATGTAAAGGATGTCTTAATAAAGACAATCAAAGTTTTAATTTTTTCTAGAGTTGTTCATTTGTTAGGCTATTGGTTAAAGGTGCAACACAATATTAATTATTGAATTACCTTTGATCTAGTTCAGTCTTATTAATCACTTAAATATTTATTAATGATCTCTTACCTAGCTTGATGACTGTGGGCATTTTTGCTTTCTTTTTGTTCTAAATAGAGACGGTATATTGTATTGTGTAAAAATGCAGGAAATTAGCTTTAGATGACCAAACAAATTCTGGGGGAGGACCCCTAGACCCCTGCCAGGTAATGTTCCTCCCCACTTCTAAACCCAAAGTGGCCCCCTGACATCAGCACTCCACCAGCATTCCGTCAAAAAAACATTGAACATAAATCATGTAGCAGATACTGTATATATGATAGAAAGTAGCCTATATGCTGGATATAAAATGTATGACAATGTAATGAGATGGAAACTTTTCACATCATGCAGGTTTTTTCCGAAATAGCCTAACCTAAAAAGCGCCCAATCGAATAATAAATGTGCTGACATGTTAACAAACAACATATCCTAATATATATGACCTGGCCTCCACAATCCCCAGCCCTCAACCCAATTGAGATGGTTTGGGATGAGTCGGACCGCAGAGTGAAGGAAAAGCAGCCAACAAGTGCTCAGTATATATGGGAACTCCTTCGAAACTGTTGGAAAAGCATTCCAGGTGAAGCTGGTTGAGAGAATGCCAAGAGTGTGCAAAGCTGTCATCAAGGCAAAGGGTGGCTATTTGAAGAATCTTAAATAGAAAACATATTTTGATTTGTTGAACACTATTTTGGTTACTACATGATTCCGTATGTGTTATTTCTTAGTTGTGATGTCTTCACTATTATTCTACAATGTAGAAAATAGGAAAAAATTAAGAAAAACCCTTGAATGAGTAGGTGTGTCCAAACTTTTGACTGGTACTGTAGTTTGCATTATTTTGGTAAGACAGCTGTGTGTATGGCTACATTCACATAGGCTGTTTGTAATAGGGTAATCGCTCGTCTAGACAGCATTGCTGTAGGGTCTGACCATTGTGCTGATCCAGAGAAGCAGAGATAGGCTACAGATTTCAAAAGCACTCAATGATCTCGGAGTCTCTGCATTTTAACTTTATGTTTATTATGGTATAACGTGATTATATAAGCAGAATTCAATATAATTCCAATGCAAGAACCCCCAAAAATGTTGCCCCCTCTGCGATTTCAACTACCCCCTTAGTCACTTTATCCTGGCGCCAGTTCTGCCATATGACTGTCTTTATCTGTACAATTATGTTCTGATTCAGTGTTGCATAACATTAATTGAGCAACGCAAGCACATACCTTTATGTCCAAAATGTTGAGCAGTCTGTATGGATACGGTGCTAAAGCTTTGGGGATATCAATTTCCACTCTTGTGCCGTGAGATATGCTTGGACCAACATTGACAACCTGAGTATGATATTAAAAGATACATGTCTAGATATGAACAATAATACCATAAAGCGCCGTAACTTTACATTAGAGACCTAGCCAGAATTCATGACAATTACATTTTTCTAATAATCCTGTTAAAGAATGCAATTATCTCGCCTGGCCGTGCTGTTATTATAGAAAATCATATAACAACAATACCTTGAAAGTGTAATTGAACCTCTCAGCGGAGCAGCGTGGATCCTCAAAGTCCCCAAACACAAACTCTGTTCGGGATACAAAACTACAGCCACAGAATACAGAATTACAAATACATTGATAAATCAACATTTTATAAGTGTTTATAAAGTAGTATGCTAGAATATTGCACACAATACAGTAATACCATGTCTTACCCGTGGATGCTTAGATTCACTCCATATCTCAATAGCAGAGTAAGATTAACAATATTGTCATGGAGAAGATTTTCATTTTCAAAATTCTCCCTGTGTAGAGAAAGAGATATGTTCAGGTGTAATGTTTTAGGAGGGACTGATTTATTCAATATATATATACACACACACTACCAGTCAAAAGTTTGGACACACCTACTCATTCAAGGGTTTTTCTTTATTTTTACAATTTTTTACATTTTAGAATAATAGTGAAGACATTAAACGATTCTTCAAATAGCCACCCTTTGCCTTGATGACAGCTTTGCACGTATCAAAAGATTATTCAAATAGCCACCCTTTGCCTTGATGACAGCTTTTCACACTCTTGGCATTCTCTCAACCAGCTTCATGAGGTAGTCACCTGGAATGCAAATTAACAGGTGTGCCTTGTTAAAAGTTGTTTTGTGGAATTTCTTTCCTTCTTAATGCGTTTGAGCCAATCAGTTGTGTTGTGACAATGTAGGGGGGGTATACAGAAGACAGCCCTATTTGGTAAAAGACCAAGTCCATATTATGGCAAGAACAGCTCAAATAAGCAAAGAGAAACGACAGTCCATCATTACTTTAAGACATAAAGGTCAGTCAATACGGAACATTTCAAGAACTTTGAAAGTGCAGTCGCAAAAACCATCAAGCGCTATGATGAAACTGGCTCTCATGAGGACCGCCACAGGAATGGAAGACCCAGAATTACTTCTGCTGCAGAGGATAAGTTCATTAGAGTAACCAGCCTCAGAAATTGCAGCCCAAATAAATGCTTCACAGAGTTCAAGTCACACACACATCTCAACATCAACTGTTCAGAGGAGACTGTGTGAATCAGGCCTTCATGGTCAAATTGCTGCAAAGAAACCACTACTAAAGGACACCAATAAGAAGAAGAGACCTGCTTGGGCCAAGAAACACGAGCAATGGACATTAGACCGGTGGAAATGTGTCCTTTGGTCTGGAGTCCAAATTTGAGATTTTTGGTTCCAACCGCCGTGTCTTTGTGAGACGCGATGTGGGTGAACGGATGATCTCCGCATGTCTATTTCCCACCGTAAAGCATGGAGGAGGAGGTGTTATGGTGTGGGGATGCTTTGCTGGTGACACTGTCCGTGATTTATTTCGAATTCAAGGCACACTTAACCAGCATGGGTACCACAGCATTCTACAGCGATACGCCATCCCATTTGTTTTGGGCTTAGTGGGACTATCATTTGTTTTTTAACAGGACAATGACCCAACACACCTCCAGGCTGTGTAAGGGCTATTTTACCAAGAAGGAGAGTGATGGAGTGCTGCATCAGATGACCTGGCCTCTACAATTCTCAGACATCAACCCAATTGAGATGGTTTGGGATGAGTTGGACGGCAGAGTGAAGGAAAAGCAGATAACAAGTGCTCAGCGTATGTGGAAACTCCTTCAAGACTGTTGTAACAGCATTCCAGGTAAAGCTAGTTGAGATAATGCCAAGAGTGTGCAAAGCTGTCATCAAGGCAAAGGGTGGCTATTTGAAGAATATAAAATCAAACACTTTTTGGGTTACTACATGATTCCATATGTGTTATTTCATAGTTTTGATGTCTTCACTATTATGCCACAATGTAGAAAATAGTAAAAATAAAGAAAAAGCCTTGAATATGTAGCTGTGTCCAAACTTTTGACTGGTACTGTATATATATATATATATATATATATATATATATATATATATATATATATATATTATATATATTACATACATACAATGGGTGAACAAAACATTAAGAACACCTGCTCTTTCTTTGACATAGACTGAGCAGGTGAATCCAGGTGAAAGCTACGATCCCTTATTGATATCACCTGTTAAATCGACTTCAATCAGTGTAGATGAAGAGGAGGAGACATGTTGAGAAGGATTTTTAAGCCTTGAGACAATTGAGACATTGATTGTGTATGTGTGTCATTCAGAGGGTGAATGGGCAAGGCAAAATATTTACGTGCCTTTGAATGGGGTATGGTAGTAGGTGCTAGGCGCACCGGTTTTTGTCAAGAACTGCAATGCTGCTGGGTTTTTCACGCTCAACAGTTTCCCATGTGTATCAAGAATGGTCCACCACCCAAAGGACACCCAGCCAATCCAACCAAAGGTGAAAAGACAACTGTGGGCCAGCATCCCCGTGGAATGCTTTCGACACCTTGTAGAGTCCATGCCCCGACGAATTTAGGCTGTTCTGAGGGCAAAGGGGGGAGGGGGGATTGCAACTCAATATTGGGAAGGTGTTCTTAATGTTTTGTACACTCAGTACAAATGCCCAGATCCACCACATAACACAAAAAAAACAGTTTAAGATTCCAAACAGCTACCTTCGTAGATTTTTTCGTTATCAAGAGGGAAAGCAAGTGAAAACAGGACAGTGTTAAAAAATATAAGAGACAGTAAATGTTTACCGGGTTGCATTGATTATAATGTTCAGGTCACCAGGTTCACTGTCAGGACTGACATCCAGCAGAAAGCTGATATTAACCTTTGAGGGCAAGAGATAGAGACATAATATCATGAGAAATTCTAAATATGTTCTGTCAGATCATGACATTGTTTCACAAAAATACATCAGGGTAGTGTTTAGTAGGCATAGAACAGAAGAAAACAGAGTGAAATGAGGAGATACTAGTCCTTTTCCATTGCAAGATGTTTTGCTATAGTATTCTCTAATGAACACGACCCAGAACCACTTTTGGTGACCCAGGAAGTGTATTTTGATAACAAAACACACACAAGGGAATTAAAAGTAAATGGACTGAAAAACCTTGCAGAAGAGGGCTTAACTCTTTTTGTACTTTCTGTGCAAGCCCAGTGCTGTCAAAAACGTGATTTTTCTGTGTTTTATATATATTTCCACACTATGAGGTTGGAATAACAATGTGAAATTGTGAAAATGATGATAATGTCCTTTTAGTGTATGAGCTGTTTGAAAAGGCTGCATGACATTTCAACCTGTTTTGGTGGGACCTTTTAAAGGGCAATTCCGCCACTTTTCAACCTCATATTCATTATCTCTAGCACCAAACCAGTCTCTACATATGTGAAAACAGCACGCTTCTATGATTTGTGGTTAAAAAGATAAGACGAAAGGTCCCCTGTAGCTCAGTTGGTAGAGCATGGCGCTTGCAACGCCAGGGTTGTGGGTTCGTTTCCCACGGGGGCCAGTATGAAAATGTATTCATTCACTAACTGTAAGTCGCTCTTGATAAGAGCGTCTGCTAAATGACTGAAATATAAATGTAAATGTCCTAAAAAAAATGCTGTGTGACATCGCAGGGTAGGATTAAAAGTAAAAAACACTAACTTCCAAAACCTGCAATGAGTTTTTAGCACAACAGAGGATATTTTCTTGCTCCCCACATCACCGCGAATGTCATGTTTGAAAATCACAGTTTTTAGAATGTTTTACTTTTGATGATGTCATCGGGTAGAACCTTTTTAACTTTACAGTTGTTTCTACAAAACATAGAAGTGTGCCGTTTTCACATATGTTGACACAGATAATGAAAATGAAGTTGAAAAGCGGTGGAGTTGCCCTTTAAGTACATACTTTGGCCAAGGCGTTGAGAAACAAATTTCCCACGCTGCAATCCAGCCCGACACTTGTCTTCTCTTCCTCTGCGATTTTACAGCTCACATATTTCTCCTCCTGCAATGACATGTGCCACATTCAGTTAGACCCATTCAGTTTGCAATATGCCCCATGTGCATGAGCCAAGAGCCCTCTGTATCAAAGGGATAGTTCAAAACGCATCATGATCACAGTTTTGCTCTGTACTGAAAGGGATCTTAAAAACTTGACTGCTGACATACACAATTTTAGGGTTTGTATCAATAGTGGACTAATAAACAACATTTCAGTTTGACAGTAGATAAGACATCGGTGGTAGGTGTAAGGTTGTGTTAGCAGCTAGCAGTGCTCCTACAGCGTCCAACACTTTGATGAAGTAGAGATTGCTGGGGTATCTCAGGTGAAGCATGGGGAGGAAGGCAGCGTCGCCAGCATTGGACAGTGTAACGTTCAGTAGAATGGTCTTCCCCTCCCCCAGAGCAACGTATGGCATGTCTCTGTGTGTCCTGAGAAGGAGTGAGAGAGAGAGAGAGTTATAAAGTGAGATAAAGAGAGAAAGATAATCAAAGTTCTTACAATTAGACCTCAGAGTCCAGCTGTGGTTTTGTCTGACTGAGTAACAGTTACTAGCACATACAGTAAAGAGCAATCAAGACATGTAGAGGGTGACAAACCTCATGGCTCTGACCGAAAGATGCAGGGCAGAGATGAGAGAGGAGGGAAGGAAAGAGATACACATGCACGCACCCACATATACAGTGAGGGAAAAAAGTATTTGATCCCCTGCTGATTTTGTACGTTTTCCCACTGACAAAGACATGATCAGTCTATAATTTTAGTGGTAGGTTTATTTGAACAGTGAGAGACAGAAAACAACAACAAAAATCCAGAAAAACGCATGTCAAAAATGTTATAAATTGATATGCATTTTAATGAGGGAAATAAGTATTTGACTCCTCTGCAAAACATGACTTAGTACTTGGTGGCAAAACCCTTGTTGGCAATCACAGAGGTCAGATGTTGTGGTCCTCTGTAGCTCAGCTGGTAGAGCACGGCGCTTGTAACGCCAAGGTAGTGGGTTCGATCCCCGGGACCACCCATACACAAAAATGTATGCACGCATGACTGTAAGTCGCTTTGGATAAAAGCGTCTGCTAAATGGCATATTATTATTATGTTTCTTGTAGTTGGCCACCAGGTTTGCACAATCTGAGGAGGGATTTTGTCCCACTCCTCTTTGCAGATCTTCTCCAAGTCATTAAGGTTTCGAGGCTGACGTTTGGCAACTCGAACCTTCAGCTCCCTCCACATATTTTCTATGGGATTATGGTCTGGAGACTGGCTAGGCCACTCCAGGACCTTAATGTGCTTCTTCTTGAGCCACTCCTTTGTTGCCTTGGCCGTGTGTTTTGGGTCATTGTCATGCTGGAATACCCATCCACGACCCTTTTTCAATGCCCTGGCTGAGGGAAGGAGGTTCTCACCCAAGATTTGATGGTACATGGCCCCGTCCATCGTCCCTTTGATGCTGTGAAGTTGTCCTGTCCCCTTAGCAGAAAAACACTCCCAAAGCATAATGTTTCCACCTCCATGTTTGATGGTGGGGATGCTGTTCTTGGGGTCATAGGCAGCATTCCTCCTCCTCCAAACACGGCGAGTTGAGTTGATGCCAAAGACCTCGATTTTGGTCTCATCTGACCACACTTTCACCCAGTTCTCCTCTGAATCATTCAGATGTTCATTGGCATACTTCAGACGGGCCTGTATATGTGCTTTCTTGAGCAGGGGGACCTTGCGGGCACTGCAGGATTTCAGTCCTTCACGGCGTAGTGTGTTACCAATTGTTTTCTTGGTGACTATGGTCCCAGCTGCCTTGAGATCATTGACAAGATCCACCCGTGTAGTTCTGGGCTGATTCCTCACCGTTCTCATGATCATTGCAACTCCACGAGGTGAGATCTTGCATGAAGCCCCAGGCTGAGGGAGATTGACAGTTCTTTTGTGTTTCTTCCATTTGCGAATAATCGCACCAACTGTTGTCACCTTCTCACCAAGCTGCTTGGCGATGGTCTTGTAGCCCATTCCAGCCTTGTGTAGGTCTACAATCTTGTCCCTGACATCCTTGGAGAGCTCTTTGGTCTTGGCCATGGTGGAGAGTTTGGAATCTGATTGATTGATTGCTTCTGTGTACAAGTGTCTTTTATACAGGTAACAAGCTGAGATTAGGAGCACTCCCTTTAAGAGTGTGCTCCTAATCTCAGCTCGTTACCTGTATAAAAGACACCTGGGAGCCAGAAATCTTTCTGATTGAGAGGGGTCAAATACTTATTTCCCTCATTAAAATGCAAATCAATTTATAAAATTTTGACATGCGTTTTTCTGGATTTTTTTGTTGTTATTCTGTCTCTCACTGTTCAAATAAACCTACCATTAAAATTATAGACTGATAATTTCTTTGTCAGTGGGTAAACGTACAAAATCAGCAGGGGATCAAATACTTTTTTCCCCTCACTGTACATAATATAATATATAACCTACTACCATTTTCATGCACTCATTATCAATAGATAGCCCCTATTTTCCCTGTATTCACAGCATGAAATGATTCCTAACCGTGCTCGCCAGATTAAATTCACAGAGTGAAATGAAACAAGTAAATTCAAGAGTAAAGATTAAGATAGATGATCTGAGGGAGGAGGAGCTCACCTCGGTAGCAGCAGCTGTGCAGACACTTGCAGATTGGTGGAACAGTTGGCCCAGGCACAGTACCTGGTGAATACAGTCTGTGGGACGCTGTTACCTTTAGTGAGTTAATTTACTACTTCCTCTTCAGGTGCAAAGCACAATGCAAGAATCACTACTAAATAGTGCCGGAAATGTACATGTTAGAAATGTGGTGAAAATAAAATAATCACACCATTTTTGTGAGGAGTGCATTTTTTGTTCCTATATACATTTAAAATGTATTTGAAACTAATTTCACATACCATGGAACATGTTAGAATTGCCAATGGAATTTGTTAATCTTGTGTGAAATTTCCAGTAGAGAAGGCTGAAAACCCACCCACCCTCGCACAAAATGACACATATACTATACACATACCAGTGCCATATCATGCCCAACTTGGAACAACCAGGATACTAAACGATGAATCATGCATTAACTACATACTACACAGTACAATAATATAGCACACCACTGGTTGGCCCTGTTTGAATATTTTGAAAATAAATCCCATCCTTCAAGTACAGTCCATATCTGAATTGACCCATTGTCAAGTCCTGCTCTCCTTAGCTACTGTTGTAACCAGGACAACATTTTCCCAGGAAGACCAATCTCCCATTCAAACCAATGGAGAAAACCACTCAATGCACCACAATCTTTGACAATGGGTTAATTGGGTGACAATCCTGCTTTCCCCTGTCCAATCACGTATGATCTTTGATTATCTTAAGGAAACATAGAATAAAGGAATGGTTTATTTCAAAGTATTTGAACAGGGCCCCTAGTCTTTGAACTCCACCTTAACCTACCTTGTTGGTCAGTAAGTTGCTGTACTCCCCTCCCCTCTTGAGCACAGGCCTGAGAGGGGGAAAGCTCCTGGAGTTGCCCCTCACCACATTGTGCTCCCCCAGCTCATACCGTAGCTCAAAGTGGATGGGGGTGAAGATGTCCCGAACATCTCTCTGGAAAGGGGAGGAAGGGGAAGGAACAAGACTTAGTCAAAGCTACTGTACTGTAGCTATATTCACCACTGTTTTCAGGTGGATTGCAATTAAGTAATGGGTAAGCTGTTTCTTCTCTTTGGCATACTATGAGCAACATTTTTGTCATGTAAAACAGCACAGATACCTAAAAAACACGAACTTGAAAATTTTTTATTTTTTTTTTTTTTGTCATTTAGCAGACGCTCTTATCCAGAGCGACTTACAGTTAGTGAATGCATACATGTTTTTTTTTTATACTGGCCCCCCGTGGGAAACGAACCCACATCCCTGCCGGCCAAACCCTCCCCTACCTTGGACCAATTGTGCGCCGCCCATGGGTCTCCCGGTCGCGGCCGGCTGCGACAGAGCCTGGACTCGAACCAAGACCTCTAGTGGCACAGCTAGCACTGCGATGCAGTGCCTTAGACCACTGCGCCACTCGGGAGTCAATTTAACATTGTAATAATGTGACATGCACGGATGCATACAATACAAAACTGGAGTCATAGTATTTGGAACTTGCATCGAATAATATGCCTTCCCTTCTATTTGAAATGGTATTGATATTATTTGACATGTGCATACTACAGGTGAAAGTTCAATGTACATGGTTTCACTGTGCTGGTTCCTTTTTCAAGTTTTGGTTTTCAAGAAGGAAGCTGTGGTATGTTCAAGACCTGGGTATCATGATCTCTCCCATGCACACTGACCTCCAGAAGCCTCTTTTAGGAGAACCTGTTTTAGTCTCGTTTTGAATCAACCTTTTAACACCCTGAACATACTATATGTGATACACCACATGTTGTCAACATCACCTCCACTTCTACGGACACACCACACACACACATGCACACACATTCTGACTAGCAGATGTAGGCCTACTTTTAAAAAAAATCCACATTCTTGATATTAATAGCAATATCAGAAATATTTGATTGATTTGACACAAACACATCTACTGAAGCAGAACCTCTCTGGGGCAGAGATCACACTACTACACCTCTCCATCAAACTCTGTCCCCCCATTCCCTGCCCTTGTCACCTCCAGCCCCCAGTCCACTCACCCTCAGAAAGGCCAGGTGGGTAACACAGGTCATATGGCCATGCCTGGTCTTGATCCTGCCTGCTGTGGCATTTGATAACGCTGTGCCGTTGGTGGTGAAGAAGAATCTGGACTGGAGCCCCTCTTTGTGCTTGACGTCAGCCGTCAGGTTGTATAGCATTTCTGCATGTGGGACACAGTTATGGGATAATCATATGTGTGATGTGGTGTGGTGTGGTGTGTTAGGGTGGAGTGGGGTGTGGTGTCTCACCGATGAGCCCAGAGACATTTCGTGCGTGCAACTGGAAGCACACAGTGGTGTTGAGGCAAACGGCAGGCTGGCTGTTCTCTGTACACAGGGCATAGGTGCGGTTCACACTACGAGGAAGAAGTACCGTCGCCTCCACCACAACAACCGCCCGCGTCCTACCACCCAGAGACGGAAACACGCGTAACACAAACACACACACGCACACACACACGCACACACAGACAATACATACACCCACAAAACATACACACACACATACACACACACAAAATGAAGGGGAATCTCAAAAAAATATTATATTCTTCAGACTCTCAAGTCCAGATTGTTAAGCTGTGTCTTCTGTCGTGAATGCAGGTGCGCTCTTACTGTACCTCAGAACAACGGCAGAGTCGGACAGAAAGGCTCCCACGGCCACATCTGTGGACAGATATTGGGAGAGGAAATGTTACCTTACTACCAGTTTGTCTTACAAGGTTACACTGTAATCTTTAACAGTATATGAATATTAAATATGAATTAAAAAGTAATGTGGTTTGTTTGACAGAAGGAAAATGTAGGCTATATCAATATGAATGAATAGGTTAACTGAGAAATAGATTGAATGATAGGTAGAGAGAGATAGAGAGAGAAAGAGAGAGAAAGAGAGAGAAAGAGAGAGAAAGAGAGAGAAAGAGAGAGAAAGAGAGATAGATAGAGGAAGGAAGGAAGGAAGGAAGGAAGGAAGGAAGGAAGGAAGGAAGGAAGGAAGGAAGGAAGGAAGGAAGGAAGGAAGGAAGGAAGGAAGGAAGGAAGGAAGGAAGGAAGGAAGGAAGGAAGGAAGGAAGGAAGGAAGGAAGGAAGGAAGGAAGGAAGGAAGGAAGGAAGGAAAGGGTTGTTGGGGGATGGGAGTGTCTTACCTGGGTAACCGTTTTCATCAACATCAATGCCCCCAGAAACAGACTGGCCAAACATCTTGAAGGCACTACCCAAAGCAGACCCAGCAATCCTCTGTTTAAATGGAGAGAATTAATAACATTTCTTGTGAGTTGGAAAGATCGAAGCACCATTATCATTGTTTCTTCCATTATACATTGTCTCGTCACCGATAGTGATGTACTCATACTGGATGTGTGATTGAACAAACCAACAAGCTTTACAGTAGTACTGTAACACACAAGCTGAGTAAAAAACTGTTTTAGGGAATTCAGTCAGAACTAATATTTCCAGCAGTTAAACTCACTCTTAGAAAAAAGGGTTCCAAAAGGGTTCTTCGGCTGTCTCCATAGGAGAACCCTTTTTGGTTTTAGGTAGAAGTATTTTGGGTTCCATGTAGAACCCTCTGTGAAAAGGGTTTTACATTGAACCCAAAAGGGTTCTACCTGGAACCTAAAGGTTTCTTCAAAGGGTTCTCCTGTGAGGACAGCCGAAGAACCGTTTTAGGTTCCAGATAGCACAGTTTTTTCTAAGAGTGTGGGGACAGACACATGCACAAACGCACACACACTCATTCCCATGCACAAACACAAACACTGGCTGGGGACATACTTGAGAAAAGTATTGTTCAAGTCCCGTCTTCCTCCCATTGTAGATATAAATAGCACCATGTAGGTCATCCTCTTGTGGTGCCCCAACTGCAACATCTGCAAAGCAGTTAGGCAGTCTATTCATTTCAATCTATTCTCACATTTTGAGATTCTGTCACTGGCCAAACTAGCTTAAGAAAGGGACTTTTGTGTTTCACTCTGCAGCTGTTAATCAATTTTGGACCCAAATGGCAAATATACATTTACCTGGATAGCCATCATCGTCGATATCTCCAAGACTTGTGATACTTTCCCCAAACCGGGATGCATATGAATCTCTCCCTGCTAATGTAAATTCCATCTCCTTCATGTTAGCCTGAGGAAGGGGAAAAAATAGCTTTTATTAAATAGAAGTTCAACAGCATTGTGTCTAGAGACCAATTGGAAATTGGAGGAAATCCACAATCCTCCAACCAGGATATCTGGAAAACCTGGGAAAGTTACCAGAATTTTGAAACCCTACTGCTGTAACAAAGTACAAATATGTAAATTAGGCCTCTAGATCGACCAGCCCTCCACCATACAGTAACTTGTCTGGGGGACGACTATTTGCTCACCTGTCCCTGGTTCATGTAGATGTGCACACGGCCCTCCTCCCTCACGGTGCTGAACATTGGAGCTCCCACCAGCAGGTCAGACAGGCCATCAGCGTTCAGGTCCACCGCACACACAGTGGCCCCAAAATAGGAACCCAGCTGTGAACAGGATGCAAAAGAGAAAAAAAACACAACTTGGGTCGGTTTCCCAGAAAGAGATGAAGCCTGTATTGGACTAAAAAGCATTCTCAATGAAGACTCCATTGACAGTGCTTTTTAGTCCAGCACTAGACCTAATCTGTGTCTGGGAAACCGCACCCTTGTGTAACAAACCCAAAGACCTTTAAATGATGGGAGATATGAAGTATTTAAAGCCTTATGATTGGATAAGGTAACCCAATGGTAGTTCAATACGATCTGCACATCAGAGAGCATCCATTGGATAATGTCAGCGTTGTTATTGACGGCACATATTCCCTTTCAGAAAATTATCATACGCTTTGAGAAGTACCATTTCAACGAAGACATAACATCACCAAAATATAGACAAAACATTATCCAGCGTAGCCATAACATGACAAAACCTAATCTCCCTATGTAGACATAACATGGTAATGACCCTTCCTCACCTTTTGACCTTTGACCTCAGAGATGATGCTCAGTGTGCTGGACTCCATGCTAAAGATGTAGGCCTGGGGAAGATACAGAGTGGGTCGGACACTTACATTTGGAGACTGCACTGTCTGATGCTGAGGCATAAACTCATGTGTAAGAAAGGGATTGGTTTTTTGTCCATTCTTATAGCAATGGTTATGTGGCCCTCAAGATCAGGGTTCAATAATGTTTGGCCAAAAGGCCCATTTATGATTTGTGAGGATGTCCTGCGGAAAAGTTATTGAGAAAAAATCATTTGAATGATCAGACACTGAACTATAACAAAACACCCTCATAAATTGAAGAACTCAGAAATCACACATGGCCCTGTTTGAAAACTCTTATAAGGCATTTTACACTTCTCTATTTCTTGAATTAATCACTGATCTGACATGACAAATTTAAAGAAGGAATAAAATAGAACATTTGCTCACACCGATACAGTAATCTCTGGTCAGTGATTACTTCAAGGAAGGGAGGAAGGAAGAATGCATTTAAACAATATTTGAACAGGACCTGAGTGTATCTCTGTTTTCCTGTAGATGACAGTGGGTTGGAAAGGGATGCAGTGTTAACTCTTACTCTACCAGTCTGCCCATACTGGGGGGCTCCTCCCACTACCTCAGTGGAGTCTGGGTGCAGGAAGTGGCCAGCGCTGACTGAGTAACCTAAATCAAGAGAGAGACACTGCATCAGTTTCACTGCTTACATACATACACAATGGATTCATCTAACCTGTCAGGAGATAAGTGTGATAATTGTGTGATAGAAAAGTGCAGGGGAGTTTAGGGTTAGGACTAGGAGAGAGAGAGAGAGAGAGAGAGAGAGAGAGAGAGAGAGAGAGAGAGAGAGAGAGAGGAGAGAGAGAGAGAGAGGAGAGAGAGAGAGAGAGAGAGAGAGAGAGAGATAGATGCATACAATACAAACTGGAGTCATAGTATTTGGAACTTGCATCGCATAATATGCCTTCCCTTCTATTTGAAATGGTATTGATATTATTTGACATGTGCATACTACAGGTGAAAGTTCAATGTACATGGTTTCACTGTGCTGGTTTCTTTTTTAAGTTTTGGTTTTCAAGAAGGAAGCTGTGGAATGTTCAAGACCTGGGTATCATGATCTCTCCCATGCACACTGACCTCCAGAAGCCTCTTTTAGGAGAACCTGTTTTAGTCTCGTTTTGAATCAACCTTTTAACACCCTGAACATACTATATGTGATACACCACATGTTGTCAGATCAGTGATTAATTCAAGGAATAGAGAAGTGTAAAATGCCTTATAAGAGTTTTCAAACAGGGCCATGTGTGATTTCTGAGTTCTTCAATTTATGAGGGTGATTTGTTATAGTTCAGTGTCTGATCATTCAAATGATTTTTTCTCAACAACAACTGAGAGAGAGAGAGAGAGAGGGAAAGGACAGTATGGTCACCCTACTGTACATGTATTGAATGTCAGTCACTTTGAGATGATAGAAAGACAAGATATGAATATAACTAGTGTAAAGGTAATGTCAGTTCACTTCCCTAATTAACTTACCCAAATAACTTCCATAGAGGACGACGTTATCATCCAAGTAGGCAGCAGTGACCTGGCTGGATATGTTGTGGGCAAAAACAGACCCAGTCCAATACAAGGTTCCAGGGGCTCCCATTACTATGAGGTCCTGTTAAGCATAACAGTACACACCAATATAACTAATCTCAATTTAATGTGCAATATTACAATGAGAATTTGCAATAAGTTAGAATTCTCTGAGAGCAGAAATATTTCAAGCATACCCCGATAAGGACATTTGAAATCCCTGCTTGACATGATGCGTAGTCATTGCCAAACTGTTTTTGGTGATCTATTAAAAAACAAAACAAATGTGGAAGGACAACAATGGTTGATACAAACTATTCATAGTGGGGGATAAAAAACACTAGAGATGGTATATCAGCTCATCAACCAAACCTACATGTTCTTTAATTCATTCATCCATTCATTCATTCATTCATACAGCAAGACAATATTCCTGGACAGTCATGTTGAGTGATGCAATATTTCCATACCTCTGTAGCATGGAATTAAAGGACTTGATTGAATCAAGTCCGCCTCCAATTTGTAGCATACACCATGTGGCAACTTATTTGAATGGTCTTTTTTGGTGAAGAAGACATTTTTCCAACGATGTCCACAGGCCTGAAATGTGAAATGAAATACATTCAAATAAACAAATAATGTTGGTTTAAATTTCATTCCACACTACACATACCAACACAAGTCCATCCCGCTGCCGCCTGGAGAGGCTCACACCAAGCCACTGGTTATCAACCTCAGCAGAGCAGTGTCTGCCACAGGGCATGTCACTCATCACACCTACATGGAGAAATTAAACAACAACAGCAACACATTTGTCATCAACCCAGGACAAGCATGAGTTTATCAGGAAATCAACCCAGCACCAAACTAGCTCCTGGCAACTGTAGATGAGGTAGTTAGAGGGGAAACCCTGGGTATTTAAGTATCTGAAGACTGCTTCTAGTGCAGTCTGGGTGTTACTAATAAATAATAATGCATTTAATTTGCTTAGCCTTTTCATTACAGAAAGAATCTCAAAGCATGAAAAAAGCAAAACAAACACAAACAAATGCTATTTAGTTTACAAATGTAGTTTATTACAATATGTTGGGCTATATCTAAGACTTAACTGTGATCATCACCTTAACCTTTACGCTAAGAGGTCCAAACCTATTGACAAGGTCACTAGGTGTTGGGTTAAGGTCACTACATTACCCCCTTCCTTCCAGAGAGCATGTCCTCATGCTCACGTGTACATAACTCTCCAATGGCATCACGGGCGCCATCCCACTTCTGACACCAATCTTAGCCCTGACTGGGACTCAAACCTGGGTCCAGCAACTGTCAAGCCACCACCTTAACCTTACGCCAAGAGGTCTGAACATCTTGATGAGGTCGCTAGGTGTGGGGTCACGGTCGCTACAATATTTTTGCTGAATCTATTTTCCTCAATCTACATTGAAATCAAATTTGACTAAAACCAAATAAAAAAATAGGGTAGAAATTTAAATGGACCTACATTTATATAGTTTCTTCACTCTGTCCAGCTTGCTAACAATCACCGAAACGAAAGCAAGACAATCAGGGAGCATTGAAAATATAAAAAAACAATGGATAGAGGACTATTTTTTGCAAATTTTGACAGAGGAAATGCAGGGCTAAATGAGTTTCACACCCCTGGTGTAAAAGGACACTGGGGGGACACTGAAGCACTATTGATATTGTGGAGATCTTAATACAACACCTACAATAACGACCGCATAAAGAGGTTGACTGACAGAAGAAGGTCCCCGGGTTTGAATCCCAATCAGGCTGCAGGGCTAAATGAGTTTCCCACCCCTGGTGTAAAAGGACACTGGGGGGACACTGAAGCACTATTGATATTGTGGAGATCTTAATACAACACCTACAATAACGACCGCATAAAGAGGTTGACTGACAGAAGAAGGTCCCCGGGTTTGAATCCCAATCAGGCTGTCCCAAAAATGTGAGATGAATGATGAAAAAGCTATACTTAAAGTATCTAAAGATTGTTGGTGCGGTAAATCTACAATAACATGGGATTAAGTATGGCGACAGTTAATCATTGATTAATATACTAACCGAGTTGAATCTGTTCACAGTCCTTCTTGTCTGTAATTTTGCACTTGTAGATTACTCCAGGATTCCTGACAGCCTGGTTGAACTTTGAATTTGCAACTGGTGCACCAACTATTACCCTATAACAGACAGAATTTGACAGTCATAAATGTGGAGAACATAATGGGAAGATTAAAAACAAGTTCACCAAACTAAAATAAACATTCCATTCTGTTGCACACTCAATCATTTACATTTTAATCGCATTAAAATGTTAACACGCACCATGTCTGTTGCTGATGCTTGTGGAGCAACACAGAATATCCAAAAAATGATCCATTCGGACCCCTGAGTGGAATAGCGTGCGGTATGTCTAAATTGTACAAATCGGCATGACGTAAGAGAAAGCAAAACAACATGTATAGCCCTATGCTGTATAAACCTAGCCCGTGTGTAGTCATTTTTAATAAGTGTAGCGGAGTTCCAAAGATCAAAGATGAACTGAATGTTAGCTTGCTCAAACATCCATGGGGGCTTTTCTCGCTTGCTGCTCCATCTTCGGATACATGGTAATAGTGCAGTATGAGGAGGATGTCCTGACAAAATGTAGTAGGCAGAGTGTTTGACAGAAAGTAAGGTGGAGTCACTACAACACAGAGGCAACCCTCATTTCCCTAACTTGACGCACTGGAGCATTAAAATGATAGCCTGTCTATGCCTTCTATGATTTATAAGTCTCCATTAACGCACTGCTTTTTATTTCAAACAAAACAATTGTAAAAAATGTTAATTCATGTTGTGGCTTAGCCTGAAACAAGGCAAAATTATACTATCACTGAAATGAGTATGTTTTGTTTGAGTTTATGAGTTTGTTTGGAAATGAGAAGGTACATTTAAAATCTGGGAATTGTAATGTCTCTGTCATTTCTCCCTTTCTACCTCCCTCTAATAAAATTAATTTTATGAAAGTGACTAAAACAATTGAATGTTTGAGAAACCAGCTGTCATTTCTCCTCCAGTTGCTCTGATTCGCCGGTCTACTGAGCCACCGGTCTGAGCGCACCACCTCGGCTACACCGGAATGGAAACCCAACGAAACCCACCGCACCCTAATCACTTCCTCATCTCATCACCACCCCTATTTAGCCGAGGACTGTTTTGGATGATGTTGTGTGTGATTGTTTAGCTTCGTGTCGTTTACTCTATCTTTGTTATTTATCTTGCTCATTGTTAAGTAAACCTTGACCTTGTTAATTCCTGCGTCTGCGTCCTGCCTCTTCGTATACTCAGTACTTGTCACACCAGCATCCTATTTAATTGCTATTCATTTAATTTTGATGACATCAGGATCAGGAGTCTGGACAGGCCTATTCTCACATAAATCCTTATTTATAAAAGGTCAAAGGCAAAAACAAAGATACAGTGCCTTGCAAAAGTATTCATCCCCATTGGCGTTTTTCCAATTTTGTTGCATTACAACCTGTAATTTAAATGATTTTTATTTGGATTTCATGTAACGGACATACACAAAATAGTCAAAATTGGTGGAGTGAAAAAAACAAATAACGGAAAAGTGGTGCGTGCATATGTATTCACCTCCTTTGCTATGAAGACCCTAAATAAGATCTGGTGCAACCAATTACCCTCAGAAGTCACATAATTAGTTAAATAAAGTCCACCTGTGTGCAATCTAAGTGTCACAGAAAGTGACTCTACCTTTCTTAAAAACTACAAAGAGTAACTCATTGGCCCCATTACTAAGGTCACCAACACATCTATTGGTCTCGGGGTGTTTCCAAGGGTATGGAAGTCGGCCATAATAAATCAGGCGACCCTGCTGACGTGAGTAACTACAGGCCCATTAGTATACTACCTGTGGTGTCAAAGGTTGTTGAAAAGTGTGTAGCAGAACAACTGATTGCCCACCTCAACAACAGCCCCTTCACATTACATTCCATGCAGTTTGGCTTCAGAGCGAAACACTCCACAGAAATGGCCAACTGCTTTTTTCTGGAAAATGTGAAGTCCAAGATGGACAAAGGGGGCGTTGTTGGGGCTGTGTTTCTGGACCTAAGGAAGGCTTTTGATACTGTTAACCATGAGATTCTCATCACAAAATTGTCCAAGTTCAACTTTTCCCCCGATGCCTTGAGATGGATGAAATCATACCTTGAAGGCAGAACTCAGTGTGTCAGAGTGAGCAATGAGCTGTCGCCCACTCTTAGCTATGATGTGGGTGTGCCCCAAGGGTCAATACTGGGGCCCCTCCTGTTCAGCCTGTACATTAATGATCTGCCTTCTGTCTGTACTGGGTCTGAAGTTCAAATGTATGCAGATGATACAGTGATATATGTGCATGCAAAGAGCAAACAACAAGCTGCACAAGAACTCACTACTGTAATGGTCCAGGTTACAAAGTGGCTCAGTGACTCGTGTTTGCATCTCAATGTGAAAAAAACTGTTTGCATGTTCTTCACAAAGAGGGCAACAGATGCTACTGAGCCAGAAGTCTATGTGTCATGGGAGAAGCTCCAGGGGGTATCTGATTTTAAGTACCTTGGCATCATACTTGATTCCAACCTCTCTTTTAAAAAGCATGTGAAAAAGGTAATTCAAATAACCAAATTCAACCTAGCTAATTTCCGATTTATACGAAATTGTTTGACTACAGAGGTAGCAAAACTGTACTTCAAATCTATGATACTCCCCCACTTAACATACTGCTTGACTAGTTGGGCTCAAGCTTGCTGTACAACAGTAAGACCTATTCAGTCTGTCTACAAACAGGCTCTCAAAGTGCTTGATAGGAAGCCCAATAGCCATCATCACTGTCACATCCTTAGAAAGCATGAGCTCCTGAGTTGGGAAAATCTTGTGCAATACACCGATGCATGTCTTGTATTCAAGATCCTAAATGGCTTGGCTCCCCCTCCACTCAGTATTTTTGTTAAACAGAAAACCCAAACATATGGCAGCAGATCCACAAGGTCTGCCATGAGAGGTGACTGTGTAGTTCCCCTAAGGAAAAGCACCTTTAGTAAATCTGCTTTTTCTGTGAGAGCTTCCCATGTCTGGAATACACTGCCATCAGACACACACAACTGCACCACATATCACACTTTCACAAAATGCTTGAAGACATGGCTAAAGGTCAATCAGATTTGTGAACATGGTCCCTAGCTGTGTGTTGCCGCTTTCCATGTCTGTTGTCTGTAACTTGTGAGGTGTGGAAACACTTTGTTGCTTTTATGAATTTTGTCTTGCTGCTTTTTGTTCTATGTTGCTCTGTCTGTATGCTACGTCTTGCTTGTCCTATGTTGCTATGTCTGTATGCTATGTCTTGTTCTATGTTGTTATTGTCTATATTGTAATTGTTTTTAATAACCTGCCCAGGGACTGCGGTTGAAAATTAGCCGGCTGGCTAAAACCGGCACTTTTACTGAAACGTTGATTAATGTGCACTGTCCCTGTAAAAATAAACTCAAACTCAACTCAACATGATCTCAGTATATATATACACACCTGTTCTGAAAGGCCCCAGACACTGCAACACCACCAAGCAAGGGGCACCACCAAGCAAGCGGCACCATGAAGACCAAGGAGCTCTCCAAACAGGTCAGGGACAAAGTTGTGGAGAAGTACAGATCAGGGTTGGGTTTTAAACAAATATCAGAAATTTGAACATCCCACGGAGCACCATTAAATCCATTATTAAAAAATTGAAAGAATATGGCACCACAACAAACCTGCCAAGAGAGGGCCGCCCACCAAAACTCACGGACCAGGCAAGGAGGGCATTCATCAGATAGGCAACAAAGAGACCAACGATAACCTTGAAGGTGCTGCAAAGCTCCACAGCGGAGATTGGAGTATCTGTCCATAGGACCACTTTAAGCCGTACACTACACAGAGCTGGGCTTTACGGAAGAGTGGCCAGAAAAAAGCCATTGCTTAAAGAAAAAAATAAGCAAACACATTTGGTGTTCACCAGAAGCCACGTGGGAGACTCCCCAAACATATGGAAGAAGGTACTCTGTTCAGATGAGAGTAAAATAGATTTTTTTGGCCATCAAGGAAAACGCTATTTCTGGCGCAAACCCAACACCTCTCATCACCCGGAGAACACCGTCCCCACAGTGAAGCATGGTGGTGGCAGCATCATGCTATGGGGATGTTTTTCATCGTCAGGGACTGGGAAACTGGTCAGAATTGAAGGAATGATGGATGGCGCTAAATGCAGGAAAATTCTTGAGGGAAACCTGTTTCAGTCTTCCAGAGATTTGCGACTGGGACGGAGGTTCACCTTCCAGCAGGACAATGACCCTAAGCATACTGCTAAAGCAACACTCGAGTGGTTTAAGGGGAAACATTTAAATGTCTTGTAATGGCCTAGTCAAAGCCCAGACCTCAATCCAATTGAGAATCTGTGGTATGACTTAAAGATTGCTGTATACCAGCGGAATCCATCCAACTTGAAGGAGCTGGAGCAGTTTTGCCTTGAAGAATGGGCAAAAATACCAGTGGCTAGATGTGCCAAGCTTATAGAGACATACCCCAAGAAACGTTTAGATGTAATTGCTGCAAAAGGTGGCTCTACAAAGTATTGACTTTGGGGGGGGGGTGAATAGTTATGCACACTCAAGTTCTGTTTTTTTGTCTTATTTCTTGTTTGTTTCACACAAAAAAATATTTTGCATCTTCAAAGTGTTGTGTAAATAAAATGAACAACCCCCCCCAAAATCCATTTTAATTCCAGGTTGTAAGGCAACAAAATAGGTAAAATGCCAAAGGGGGTGAATACTTTCGCAAGCCACTGTATTGTCCACAATACATACAGTGGGGAGAACAAGTATTTGATACACTGCCGATTTTGCAGGTTTTCCTACTTACAAAGCATGTAGAGGTCTGTAATTTGTATCATAGGTACACTTCAACTGTGAGAGACGGAATCTAAAACAAAAATCCAGAAAATCACATTGTATGACTTTTAAATAATTCATTTGCATTTTATTGCATGACATAAGTATTTGATCATCTACCAACCAGTAAGAATTCCGGCTCTCACAGACCTGTTAGTTTTTCTTTAAGAAGCCCTCCTGTTCTCCACTCATTACCTGTATTAACTGCACCTGTTTGAACTCGTTACCTGTATAAAAGACCTGTCCACACACTCAAACATACTCCAGCCTCTCCACAATGGCAAGACCAGAGAGCTGTGTAAGGACATCAGGGATAAAATTGTAGACCTGCACAAGGGTGGGATGGGCTACAGGACAATAGGCAAGCAGCTTGGTGAGAAGGCAACAACTGTTGGTGCAATTATTAGAAAATGGAAGAAGTTCAAGATGACGGTCAATCACCCTCCGTCTGGGGCTCCATGCAAGATCTCACCTCGTGGGGCACCAATGATCATGAGGAAGGTGAGGGATCAGCCCAGAACTACACGGCAGGACCTGGTCAA